AATCGCTCTTCAGACAATGTTGATCTAGAGCAAGGCTTTACAGCCGGCGGCTTGCAGGGAGAAAACTCTGCCCATGCAGGATCTTAAACAATTCCCACAATCCATAAACACTACCCAGAACCCCCAAAACACGCCCCAGTGAATCCAAATCATGTCTCAGAATCCAAATTCTGGGGTGTTTTTTTGATTCTGTGAAAGGTTTTTGGATTCTAGGAAGTGTTTGAGATTCTGGAAAGTGTTTTGTCCCTACGAGCCACCGCGGGTCTTGACTTGTTTCATCAGTATTAAACGACCATTCAACTTTTGGGTGGTGGGCATTCTGGCCGCCATCCTCGATTTTACCAAGAATTAGAAATCGGGTTATGAGAAATAGTAATTTTTCGTGCTTAACACATAAATAATCACTTTGCATCATTTTAGCCACAAAATTTACTTTTATTGTGAAAAGAAGTTAAAAAAACATGTATTTTCACTCAAAAATGGCTTGAACACCCGCTACTGATGACGTCATATCTCGTACCTATAGAAACTGGCCATCACTAAACCGGTCTGAAAACGCAAGCGAGGGATAAACGGACAGCTGCTGAAAACGTCAGGTACTGCTGTTTTATCATCTAGGAAAAACTCAGAAAAACCTCAGAGGGTTAACACTGGTTTAATATAATTCGGAATTTGTAGCGTATAAATTGCTGTTCTTTTACGACAAGTGTACAAAGTAGAATTGAGTAACTTTTTTTGCTCCCAATGCGCCTCCGCCCCCTAAGTAGTTTTGACACTCATGCAAGATGGCAGCCCGTAACACAAAGCGCTCGATCTCGATGATCTTACGGGAAAATAGAGGACTGTGAACAGTCTAGTTTCTTAGATAATAGGAGTATATAGAGTTTGTACTATTAAAAATTTGAGCCAAATGATCTGGTACAATGTGATTTTTCAGTGTATACATTATTGTGGCTAATTGCCTTGTCCTTCGTATCTTAAGATTATCGCACCCAAGTTCATCCAGTTTCTCAACTGATCGTCTATCGTAACTAGAGGAGGTCACCACTCTGGCAGCTCTGTTTTGGAGGGTCTGGAGTCTGTTACGCATCCCTTCCCCACAGCTCCCCCACACTCTACTACAATAATCAAAATACGGTAGTACAATGGAGTTCAACTCGTACAGAGATCTTAGCCCCAAGCAAATCTACAGGATTCATGAAAATGAAAAGAAGCGAAAATACAATTCTCTCGTCACAGAAATAGAGCAAGGCACATTCACCCCACTGGTATTTACAACGACGGGAGGGATGGCTGACTAATGCCTGAGATACCACTTAAGATTAGCCGAGCTAGCGCTATTATATGCACAAAAGCACGAGAGCTACGCCACAACAATTTCATGGGTCAGGGCGAAAGTGTCCTTTGCAGTTTTGCGGAGCGCGCTCCTATGCCTAATTATAAGGGGATCGAGAACCTCCGAGAAGGAGGAACTTAGATGTTAAGGACAGGGATCTAGAAATAGAGAAGGGTCAAGCAGGACTTCCCTAGACTTAACAGTTATAAATGGTTTATTAATTGTCTTTATTTTATTTTATTTTATTTAAACATTTGAAAGAAACGTTTAAATTTTAGAGGCTGACAGTTTTTTATTGAAATGAAATGTTCGAATTTTAAATCGACAGGAATTGTAAATAGTGTTTTGAACGAATAGTTTTTTTCTTTTTTTTCAAGCGAATTAATTGTAAATGTTATTTCTGACGAATGAGCCCGCGAAGAAGACAGAAATAAATATTTTGACGGCACGAGATACAACAGGGCCTGGGTACTAGGCCGGGTGCACCATGGGTAGCCATATCGGGGGTATATAAGGCTGCGTATATCACGTGTACGTCATCTAGGCTTACGAACCACCCTCTCTTTGGTTTTTCTTTATTTTTGTTTTATTTATTTTTAGGAGCAACATATTCTCGATGACATTGTAAAGTCCCGTAGGAAGGGCTTTGAGCTTGAGCCTTGGTTCCTACCCAGATTTCCTGCCCGCATTTTTTCCCTTCGGGGTTTTTTTGGGCAGGTTTTTTCTGGCCTCCGTCTGACCGCATTTACTTCAGTTTGTAAGCGGTAGCTCAGCTCTGCTAGTTTTCAGTTTTTTCCCGTTTCTTATTTTATGTACTTGTACAGTTATCTCAGTTTTTGCACCTGCTCCTTTACTTGATATATTTAGTTTCTATGTATAGAAACTAGGTCAGCTGTCCAGGAACCGCTCTTTAGGAGGCGACATAAGTCTCGTTTGATGCAGTTAGGTTGCAGGCAATGTTACAGACTTCTAGCCAGGGTCGTTATCCATTTGTTTACTTTCAATGTCCTGCCCTAGCCTTTTATGGCAGCCTTACTGGTTATTGGGCTACGTGCCTTGTTGGGTACATTAGTGGAGATAATTCCCAGTTTTCCTGGCACTCAGCCTCTGTGCTCCTGAAGTGTTCCCGGTCCCAGTTATCCGTTGATCAGAGTTTTATTAAATTTCCCCAGCCTAACTGGCAGCCTAACTGGCACTAAGCCTGCGTGCTTCTTTGGGGGACTCAGGTCGAGATCGACCAGTTGTAGCAAATCTCTCTTTTGCTTAGCCTCTGTGCTCCTGCCGTGTTCCCTGTGCCAGTTATGCGTTGTCAGAGTTTTATTTATTAGTTTCCCCAGCCTAACTGGCACTAAGCCTGCGTGCTTATTTGGGGGATTTAGGTCGAGATCGACCAGTTATAGCAGTTTTTCTTTTTGCTTAGCCTCTGTGCTCCTACAGTTTTCCCTGTGCCAGCTATATGTTGTCAGAGTTTTATTAATTAGTTTCCCCAGAATAACTGGCAGCCTAACTAGCACTAAGCCTGCGTGCTTAACTGGGTGATTCAGGTCAAGAGCGACCATTTGTAGCACGAGTTTTTTCTTTTTGTGAAAGCTAGTTTACGAGTGTTGTACATTAGGTATTCACCAGTAATCACCTATTATTGTATTTACATAAGTACTTTGTAGGGTTGGTTCTCGCCAAGCCGTCCCAAAATAAACTTATTTGCCATTACGTTTTGTCTGTTGATGTTGTGTAGTGGAGTCAAAATATAGGATTTTAATAGTTAGCATGTTGTCAATAAAATTTTTTTCCAAAAAAAAAAAAAGAGGTCAACTCCATTGTACTACCGTATTTTGATTATTGTAGTAGTTTAATGTATAATAAGGCATGAGATGCCTTACACGTCTCAGAATTCCAATCCCTCCAGAAGCCTTCCTTAGCAATTTTGTCTACATGATCTTTCCAAGTTAATTATTGATCTATTTCAACACCAAGACATTTATACGTCTCATCCCTAATAAGGGATTTGTGATCGACATGAATATTAAAGTTGTGCTCAAGGTGTTTTATTATCCGATATTGACTAGCTACAATCATATATTTTGTCTTTATCAAAAAAGGCTAAGTTTATTTGTTATTATTATACAGACACGAGTGTTTTACTGGAAAATATACCACTCGTAAATTTCATAAAAACAAAATCCGGGACCCGAGTGGTTTATTTTCCATAATCTCACGCGTGAGTTTACCGATGACGTAATTTTGGTAATTTCCCTCTATTATTTTATCGATGTCATTTTGTCTATATAATAAAAAGAACATTACACTGCGGCTTGAAGATATGAATTTTATTTTCTCGTGGCAGAAACAATATTTTACTCACTCGTTGCGCTCGTTCGTAAAATATTGTTTTGCCACTCGAAAATAAAATTCATATCTTCGCGCCAACGTGTAATATCCTCTATTTAAAAATTTATATATTTCATGTAGACCATGAGTCATTTGTTGCTCTAGGAGGTACTCATAAGAATGTGCAACATCTTCATACATCGGCACTTTAGAGTAGAGGTTACAAGATGGAAGACCATTTATATAAACAATAAATATTAAGATAGCGGACCATCTCACACAGAGTTTGCATGTTTTGGTGTCAAAGAAACTACTCGGGTGAGATCGGCAAATAATAAATACTAAAACGCTGGTTAACAAACCCAAACGGGAACTTAAACTGACTAATGAACCAAGGCCCAGCTCTAACACTCACGACCACTTGTGAAAAACTCTCACCTGACAAGGACAAGCGAAGAATATACCAAAAATGGAATTATAATTAAAATAATGTACATTCGTGATCTAGCATAAATTCAAGCACTAGTAAAAAAATAAGACCACAACAGGAAACTGTCCTAGACCCACCGTAATGAAACCAACCCCACGATTAACTGAAGATGAGACAGATCTTAAAAATAACCTTCACAACAAAGTTGTTTATGGTATGCACCTGTTCCAGGCAGCTTAATCAGTAATTAAATGCCTTATATCCCTTTAAGTCGATGGTTAACTTTTGTATTGAGCACGGCAACGAGGTCAAAATAACCGTAAAGGCTTAGCAAAACATAGCACAAAAGAAAGAACTCAAATATTTTCAGTGGTCTCTTTCTAAAAATATATGAAATATGAAAATACAATATATTTTAAATTGACTGGGCAGGCAATTTTTAATGATGTCTACAACATATAAAAGAATTTTGCGCCGACTTTTTGTCATCAGAAATTCGTCGCACGGTGAGTTAATTGTTACAAAAGCTGAGAAACCTTATAACAAAATGCAAAGAAATACATGTTTAGACCGGTTTTAATAATATTCTTACGCAAAAAGGAAAAGTTTGCTTTTCTTTTAATGACAGGTGCTGAATATTTCAGAGGATTTCCCATCCGCTAAGTTTATGCTTCCTTTAATAAGAACATCAATGTTTGAAATTACACCGTTTTTAATTAGTTTGCTTTATTGGTAGAAAGGCCTGTCGCTCTTCGTTCAACATTCTGTGACTATCTATCATGTCCATTAGTTTATACTAAACAGGTGTTTAAGATCAAAAAATAATTTTTAATCTCAAAGACACAGGAAAGTTTTATCGATCAAACCGATACCAAACAGCGTATTTTCAAAGTTAAAGTACTGAAAATGGAGTTATGGTTTTGGATCCTTGGTTGGATTCTGTCTATCCTGACGATAGCTGGAAATGGTTTCATTGTTTTCCTTGTGTGCAAAAAAAGGCAGCTCCGCACCAAAACCAACGCCTTCATTGTCTCACTTGCAGTGGCTGATTTCTGTGTTGGAGTGAGCGTCGTTCCTTCCTTCTTCATTTGCGACATTACAGGAGGCTGCGATTGGCCTACAGGAAACCGTCCTTTATGGACATTTGGTATAAGATGGTTGTTTGGTTACGCATCTGTGATGAATTTGTGCAGTTTAGTACTCGAACGCTACATCGCCATCGTGAAACCTTTAAAATATCTAACTGCTATGACCAGATGTCGAGTTGTTAAAATGATAATCTTTTCGTGGACAATCCCTATAATTTTTGTAGTAGGTCTGCTATTAATTTTGTCAAGAATTTCAGCTATGTTTTTTGTAAGTATTTTTGCTATTTTGGTAGAGTTTTTCTCATGTTCTATATTAATTTTCTGCACCGCTTCGATAATACGTGTTGTTTATAAGCAAGATAGAGCAGCACCTAGCTTAGGAAAAGTGAGACGATTTAGCCAACATCGTGACAAGTCTGCGATTGTAATGATGACAATTGTTGTAGGCTTGTTTCTTATTTGTTACGGCGTATATTTTCGCTGTAGTTTTGCAGTACTTTTTCTTAACATAACCTGTAATGATTTCAGTTATAAAATACCTCTGTTCATTTTAAACTCTGCCATCAACCCTTGGGCGTATGCTCTCTTCAAGAGGGACATAAAGGCGATGATCAAAAGACTGATCTGTAGGGCAACGTCCAGTCACAGTGCAATGCCTTTTATTTTAGCCAAACGTTCTGCCGTAGGAAGTAGGACTTTCTAAAATACGTCCGCTTCGCTCATATGAAGCCACTGTGAGTTAAAATGACATTATTATTGCTTTTGAATAAATGAGAATTGTTCTTAGCAAGGGGGAATGAAAATTAAAGGGCAAGCAGGCAAAACTATTATCCATTTAATGATACAGAGATGAGATGGGAAGTTTAAGAAGGGAAGACCTTTATTGCAGCTGGCTGTACACAAGGATAGCAGGACCTTGCGGTTTTTCGAATGAAAAGCGAGTTTGGGTAATGTATCTTACACTTAGTCTACTATTATCAGGACAAGGGTGAGGACTTGAAGATCGCAGTTATCAATAATTTCGTCCTATATTACAGTGAATACATTAGAAACGTGATCGAAATATCTAGTGGGAGAGAATTTGTATTATTGTATTAATATTTATAAATGTTGCCAAACATTGTTTGCTTTGCATGAACTTCAGTTGTATCATTCCCGTGGTTCCGAGGTCTCCTGGGCCCTTACGGCCAAGTGATCTAGCCTTAGAAAGTGCGACGCCAGGGCCCAGTTGTTCGAAGGCCGATTAGCGCTAACCCTACCCTGGGTTCCAGAGGCTTTTCATGCGCGGTTCCGGTTTCGGTTAAGTCTTAAGGTGTTGTGTTAGCCAGCAGCCGATCGACGAATCTGCTGGTAACACGCGAGAAAAAAACCTCTGATACCCAGGGTACGATAACCCTGGGTTAAATTCTTATCCGGGTTTCTTTCTCTCTCTCTCTCTCTCTCTCTCTCTTTTTTCATCTAATTATCAAACGGTGGACAAAAAGAATTACACTGAATTTTCTTTTTATGCTTTCATGTTTGAATTCAAATATTTCCCTAACCCTGGGTTACCTTAACTTACTAGCTTTGAACAACCCAGCCCAGAACAACTGTTAGTGACACCAGGACAACATTGCTGTTAAATTTCAAAATATATTGAGTCGCATGTAAAGAATGGAACGAAGGTACACTTGGAGAGACAAATTAACGGTTATAACACCACAGATCCTATTGCTGGTTTTCACTGTCACGCCATCGAAAAAACTGTTCAATAGATGATGTCCAGAATGTTGGAAATGATAGACGGTACATTAGCAAAGATCCTCGCCAAGATTCAGGTCGGTGTAATTTTTCGCATATGCGTGATGTTGGGAGAAATATTACCTGGATTTTTAAAGCTCTGTATGGAGACGCCATGTTGGTGCCCATCTGGATGGGCACCAACAGAAACATCTGTTATCGAATTTTGCTAAAAAAGCGTGAATTCATCCCTTAAAAAACTAGAGCGGTTTTCACTTGACTGTCGAAAGTAATTGAGGAATTGGTTTGGTTTTGGTTTTACTACGCCCTTTGGCTAGTGTATTTACTTTGGTTTTGGTTTTACGACAGTCAAGTGAAAACCGCTCTAAAAACCATTAAAGTAATACTTTTCCTGATACAAGGCTATCTAGGCCGCCACGTAAATGACGCGTCACACAAAAGGTTAGAAATTAATTCAAGCGTACTCTATCTCAAAAGGAAAAACCCTTCCGAAATGAGGATTTGTAAAAGAAAAAAAAGCTCCTAGCTGCTCTAATACTTCACAAAAGTAAAAACCTCAGGAGGATGGATAATTTCCGCTTTATTTTTTCCATATCTTGTGACGTCATGAGAAAACCCAGAATAAACTATACCACTAGCTCCGCAATGGCAAAGTGTCATCATCACGTGGATTGCAAGCAATGTATTTTCTTTTCCCCTACTCCCGTTTAATTCAATACATTTCAGTTACGGGACCCCTAATTCAAAAGCATTCACCACCTTAGTTCGTTCTAATCAGCTCTTGGAAAATCGAAAAAAACAGCATTTTCGAATTCGCAGTCCAAGCGCCCCCCACATTCCCTGGCTCATCATGCATTAAATTTAATTTTTTTGAAGCTTATTTTAACGGCCCGGAGAGAGAACGCAAAGACAGTGTTTTTCATTAATTTTGCTTTATTTAGTTTAATTCAAAGTCTTTCCATGTAAATCACAAGTTGCTAAAAATTCTTAGTTTTCAGCAACCACCACGACGAAAGAGATCTGAACGATGTATTAGTTGCAACTATCGAGTCCGATCTAAGGTTCTTGTATTTACAAGTGACGTTTATGAGACTGGCCGTTTCATCGGAACGCTACGATTGCGATTGTTTCGCGTGGCAATCGTAACGGAAACCAGGCTAATTGAACATTCCATCAAAAGTTACTCCTGTCAATGAGCAACAGTGATCTTGCAAGTAAAGGCAATGTTGCACGGGACAATCCGCCCCACAATATTCAGCGCAACACATCGCTGAAAACATTGCTGCTGTGTTACTTGGAACTGCCACAACATTGTTCCAGCATTGTTGCCATATTAAAAAATCGTTGTTGCATATCGACTCTACTACTAGGTGCACTACAAGGTGCGGTAAACGCTAAATTACGAGCGTGAAACTGTTATGTAGTTAACAGGCTTAATTTACAAACTAATTACATGATCTAGCTTGTTGAGAAACATAACTAGGAAAAGTTGCGAAATAATTTCGCAACGGCTACGTGGTACTGACTTTGACCAGTTGAAGAGAAGCTGACTTAGCCATAGTATCCTGTGTTTGTAATTTAATTCACAGGAACTCCACCAAAAGACTGATGCCACCCATAATTCATTTCCATATTATTTATATTATATTACATAACATCTATGTTTGTATGTTTATACTACACTATTATTCACACTAGTTCTAAGCCGGGCTATTAATCTAAAATTTTGTTGAGTCGTCCGATGCAATGTTTTGCTCATTTAACATAAGGGGAGTAGCTTGTTTAGCATATCCCTCCGAATTTGTATTTCCGCCCTCTTCTTGTCCATGTTCGCTTGCTTGAGTTGTAAGGAAAAGCTCTCTTTCACTTTCTTCAGCGTTGGATTTCTGTGGAACCTCTATAGGATCGTTACTCTCAACTTTAATGTCCTCCTTTTCCATGTCATTTACTTCATTGTGGACATCACTCTCATTGTTTTCTTGGTGTGCCTGCTTAACTACAACGGTTCTGTCTAAAGGCCGAGATTGGTCGTTCAGTTCAAAACCCTCATTCGATGAGGCACTCCTCAAATCACCCTCTGTGGTCGCCTTTATGGCCCCTTCATCCCCACCGTGTTGTTCGTTCATCATATAATCAGTGGCATCGTCTTTAGATCGGTAGTAATCATCAGTGCTTTCGTTCAAAGGCCGCTGCTCGTGCAGTTCAAAGCCCTCATTCGAAGAGGCACTTCTCAAATCACCATCTGTACTCACTTTTTCATTTCTTCCTTTGCCGTCGTGTTGTAATCTATCAACGACACCGTCATTTTCAGAATGGTACTCGTCGCTCACGTGAACAGCCGAGATAGGCTTCGTTATAGCAGGTTTCCAGTCGAATAAAGAGAGATATACTGGTAGTATGCACAGTCCGTGAAGAAGGCCGAACACGACGATACCAAGGAACATTTTAAAAAATATCCGGAAAATCTCGGAAGCGGCAAAGGCCAGAACTACCATGCCAAGAAAAGTACTAAAACCTGAAAGGAATGAGAATGAATGATTAAAAAAATGATGAATGAATAATACCATGAGTAAAATGATGAATGAAAAGAATGAATAAATGGACGAACGAACGAAAGAATGAATGAATGGATGGATGGATGGATGGATGGATGGATGGATGCCCGAATGAATGAATGAAATGAAGAATGAAGGACATGAAGAGAACGAAATGATAATGGGTAAGATCAGCCAAGAGCCTAGCAAGAGTTTGTGAACACGGTTAATTTCGCTCATGTAAAAAGAAATCTAAAAGTATACTTCAGTCTAAAACACAGTCTAAGTATTGGACGGACGTTCCGGGTAATGGGCCCTTGATAAATAATAAAGCGAAAAGAATTCAGCTAGTATCCTTTAGTCACTGGTGATATTGTCTCCTTATTAAAATTATTTCAATTTTTAAAACTGCGCATAGAAATTCTGCTGTCAAAGCTGACTATTTTCACAAAGTAGTGCACGATTTTGGCAAAAAGGTATCACGCCGAAATCCATCCAGGGATCCGGGGAGAAAGTTTGACAACGGGGACTACCGGCTAAATGCCAAGTGCGCCAGTCGAAAACTTTCCGTCCAAGTTGCATTTTGCTTGGCTAAGACAGAAATTAAAAAAAGGAAAAATGTTTTAGGTATTCCTGCATGAATGCATGTGGAATATCAAAATCCTAAACACCCAACCCTACACTGACTACACACAAAGGAAAACAAGAAAAATTTTGTTCTTTTCGAAGCAAGAGCCGGTTCCCCTACAAGCACTCAAGCCCTTTCCCCTTTCGGCACGCGCGTACTGGCGACTTTCTCGCTTATTCAACATGCAAGCCTGTACAAACTAAGCTCGAAATCTGGGCCAAGAGAAAAACACGTTAGAAAAGGGGACGCTATTTAGCGTTTAGCATAGGAATGCCTGCTCCGCAATCTACACTTATTCTCGTCTTTTCATCAAGAAGGATTCGTAACTTTGATGACAACCCACGGTTTGACAGAACCCATTTCATTCTTTTACCATAATGCAGATAAGAAAAGTCTAGTAGATTAGGACTTTTTTATTCATGAACAACGCCTATCCTCTGGGGAAAAAGGAGGAAAAAATGAGGACAAAACGGTTGTTCTCTATTAACTTATCTTGAATAAACTCACCTCCCATCAAAACGCTGGCGCCGAGCGTGCTCAGAGCTTCGACAACACGTTCATTAGCTGTGTCCTTGTCTGACATCACGTAAGCATGCGCAATATGAGCGCTGTAGTCAACCGCGAATCCTATAGCCATGACAAGATTGATCATGGATACAGAGTTCAGAGATACGCTCCAGATCACCATCAATCCAAACAGCTCACATATCAGGGCAGCAAAGTTTAGCACCACTAGGAGCGTAACAGTACAGTCCACTAGAAAGGGGCTTGTAACAATCAGTACAGCTAAGGCCGCGATTAAAAGGTTCCTTACGGTTTCCCTTGACGTGATTGCGTACTGCTCAAAGAAAATGAAGGGTCGAGCGATGGGGAATGCTGCAAGGTTTTTCAATGTACCTGTTTGGAGATCTTCTCGAAGCGTTAGCATGGCATTCTTCTGAAAAGAAGAACTGGTCGAGGTTTTCATGAAACCCATAATTCGAGAGACTTCGACACTTTTATTGTCTAAGGAAAACTTCACGTCTTGTTTAAAATTTGAATATATATTAAGAAACGACAACAACTCCGGCGTAAAGTTCGACCCGAGGATATTTTTATTGGTGTGCTGGGCATACTGGGAAAACACTTCAATCCAGGACAAAGTTCTGTTTTCATAATACTTGTTAGAGGTCACAATTTTGGACAGACTTCTCAATTCTTCCTGGACAGATCTATTTCCATAATCGATATTTCCAGTTTCGACAACACTCACAGGAATGGACAGCTCAAAGTACTCTTCTTGAGTAGATAAAAATTTCTTGAGGTAAGAATCATCCTTGGCCAATATTCTTCTGTCAAAACTTTCATCCACCTTTGTAACACCATATATCCCGGCCGCTAGAAAGCACCAGGAGAAGATTATCACAAAGACTTTGACCACGGATAAGGTAAGAAATCGGGCCCAGGCTTCCATAAGCTTGTTAGAGGTTTGAAGACGAGGCTCGTCCCAGGCCGGGGCGTTTTCCCTTGGTGGTGGCGCGCGACAGAACGGTAAACAGTCCCTTCGACCTGCTTTAATCCTTTTTACGTCGTATGACATGATGGCCACAAAATATGTGACAATCATTAAGTATGAAAAGGTCACAGTTAAGGCAGCATACACGCAAAAATACCTAAAAAATAAGCAAACAAGAGGTCTTAATGAGCCATTTGCCTTGTCCGTCTTATAGTAAATGCCTCTAGGGTAAACACAATATATGATACATCATGTTTTACCAAAAAGACTTGTTTTCAAATCTACATTTGTAGAATTTCTTCGTTTTGAATTCAGAGGAATTTGATTCCGAACTTTCATGTATAAGGACTGAGAGTGCAGTGCCGACCAACATTAAGTGTTTGTTGCTTTTCTACTTAGCCACTTCAAATCTCTCGGAGTAGTGTATGGCAATCACTGCGAGATCAGAGAATCGCTCTTCAGACAATGTTGATCTAGAGCTAGGCTTTACGGCCGATTGCTTGCAGGGAGAAAACTCTGCCCAGAATCACAAACAATTCTTACAATCCATAAACACTACCCAGAACCCCCAAAACACGCCCCAGTGAATCCAAATAATGTCTCAGAATCCAAATTCTGGGGTGTTTTTTTGGATTCTGTGAAAGGTTTTTGGATTCTAGGAAGTGTATGAGATTCTGGAAAGTGTTTTGTCCCTACGAGCCACCGCGGGTCTTGACTTGTTTCATCAGTATTAAACGACCATTCAACTTTTGCGTGGTGGATGTTTTGGAAAGCATCTTCATCGCAACAACCAATTGGTAGTAAAAGATTATTTGGAAACTTCCTTTGACTACAGCTGTCGTTAAAGGAAGAAAGGAGGTTGACTTCCCTCTTTTTCCAATCTCTTGGAAGCGGCGTCTCCCACTACACAGGATACATTTACCATTTATCACTGTTGCTAAGACCGTCTTTCCCTTACCTACCTTCAGAGCCCTATCTGTTACATTTGGTTAGCACCCTAATGGTTATATACAAGGAGCATTTTGCACATCACCTGATAGCTGGAAAGGAGGTAGACGTGCTGACAGCAAACGCCACCAAATCGGTCAACGTTGTCATCGTGATAGTGGCACCTGAGCGTGACAAGACTTCCTTAACTGTTTCTCTGCTTTAATCCTTTTTACGTCGTATGACATGATGGCCACAAAATATGTGACAATCATTAAGTATGAAAAGGTCACAGTTAAGGCAGCATACACGCAAAAATACCTAAAAAATAAGCAAACAAGAGGTGTTAATGAGCCATTTGCCTTGTCCTTCTTATAGTAAATGCCTCTAGGGTAAACACAATATATGATACACCATGTTTTACCAAGAAGACTTGTTTTCAAATCTGCATTTGTAGAATTTCTTCGTTTTGAATTCAGAGGAATTTGATTCCGAACTTTCATGTATAAGGACTAAGAGTGCAGTGCCGACCAACATTAAGTGTTTGTTGCTTTTCTACTTAGCCACTTCAAATCTCTCGGAGTAGTGCATGGCAATCACTGCGAGATCAGAGAATCGCTCTTCAGACAATGTTGATCTAGAGCTAGGCTTTACGGCCGATTGCTTGCAGGGAGAAAACTCTGCCCAGAATCACAAACAATTCCCACAATCCATAAACACTACCCAGAACCCCCAAAACACGCCCCAGTGAATCCAAATAATGTCTCAGAATCCAAATTCTGGGGTGTTTTTTTGGATTCTGTGAAAGGTTTTTGGATTCTAGGAAGTGTTTGAGATTCTGGAAAGTGTTTTGTCCCTACGAGCCACCGCGGGTCTTGACTTGTTTCATCAGTATTAAACGACCATTCAACTTTTGCGTGGTGGATGTTTCGGAAAGCATCTTCATCGCAACAACCAATTGGTAGTAAAAGATTGTTTGGAAACTTCCTTTGACTACAGCTGTCGTTAAAGGAAGAAAGGAGGTTGACTTCCCTCTTTTTCCAATCTCTTGGAAGCGGTGTCTCCCACTACACAGGATACATTTACCATTTATCACTGTTGCTAAGGTCGTCTTTCCCTTACCTACCTTCAGAGCCCTATCTGTTACATTTGGTTAGCACCCTAATGGTTATATAGTTCCTCGTAAAACGTGTAGTGGACTATCGACCTTTCCTCCATCTGCACGACTGTCGTTTGCGGTGGTTTAGCCAGTTGCAACAGTAGCACTATCACCGTGGACTCGCACTGTTCTGAAGGAATTGACAAAGAACAACTGTCATGCTGCGTTGCTGTCGATCAAGTTCGTCCACCAGAATAAACATGTCGTCGATTCCAATTCCAAGAATCAAGAAAGGTAGCACTCCCACCAAACTGACAAATGGAACTCGGCACCACATGGCCAAACCAAACCCAGCTAAGATCCCCAGGGCCACTGCAAACACGCCTGCGTTAGCTAGTAATGAATGCCCCGTCAATGGATTCATAAACTTTCCTAACATCACACAGGCGAAGGTGATCATTAAGGTAAAAGTGATTGATACCAAGGTGACATCAGAGCCACTGCTTTCCGCAATAGCATCGTCTAGGCTTCGTTCGCTTGAGAAATGGACTGCAAAGCAGGAATGTTTGCCCACCAAGGATTGGAGTTTGTCCACGAACGTTTTCTCCCATTCAAGAATTTTAGCGTTCGAATCTTTGTCGCTTGGATCACGCATATAATAGATCATTTGCAGCGCTTGTGCGCCTGTTATGTTTTCTCCTTCTTTTTCTACTTTACCAAACATTCGTTCGAAGTTGTAGCGAAAGGATCGTCCATTGCGCATGACAAACATTGCTTGAGGATTCATCGTGTTCGTGTACTCTTTAGAGACTTTTTCTTGAAGCTGCGAATCCGTGCGGTTTAGATTTCCCTTATCAAACTGAAAAATGTCCAAAGGGTTAATCATCATGCATTCCTTGGGATTTTTGGCGCCGACACCGGGTAAGGTCAGGCACAATTCTGAATACGATTTTAATTCCACGACTGCTTGGTGAACTTCTAGGGCCTGCTCCAGACAACCACGATTAATAACGTTAGGAGGATCTGACGATGCTACCAAGAGAACGATCTCTTCACGAAATCGAACTGGAAAATACTTCTCAGCTGCGTTTAAATCCTCCATGGCTTTGCTGTTTTGAGGAATGAAGAGTTTTTCTGTCCTGTTTTCAACGTTCATCCAAGCAAACCCGACAGAGCATATGCTAACGAAAACTAGACACAGTGGGATGGTAAGCAGCGGATGTTTCGCGATTCCTTCACCAAACCAGCCAAAGAATCTTTCAAGAACATGAACAAACCAGCTGCAAAACGAAGTCCAAAGAACACAGGGACTAAAACGATGGTTACAGCAACAACTGAAATGAAGCAAAATTAAAATGCCATTATCGTTGCACGTCACTAAGACTCTTAATTTCTAAACTTAATATTCTTGAATGAATTTTTGCGATTTTTGTTATACAATTGACAGCCTTCGTTGCCCCAGCTTTTGCTGTGAATTTGTTATTCTTGCCAGAGATATTGCGATTTTTGTAATACATTTCTACATGCAGTTAATTTCATTCATTTTTTGCTATACTGAATAGCAGCTGACTTACAAGCCAATTTTTACTACAACTTCCAACCCTGGACAAAAGTAGAGGTTTCCTCGGGATTGGTGCTACCCAGCTGTGGTACACCTACTCTATACAATTTAGAGTGTTTAAACAGGCCCCAGAACTAGACACCCCATGTATGAACAAGGTCGCTCAGTCATGTAACAGATCTAGTTTAACAAAACAGTAGGCCACATTACCTTCCCACGTGACTGTTATCTCCCATGGTGGGATTTGATGCAAGAGTTTCAGGATAACTCGGCACGACTTCGAAACAAGATGGTTCTGCTCACGACTGGCTGCAACAAACAAAGGTTACTTCAGTGAGCTTTCTTTACCTCTAAAATTGAGAGTGTTACTCCAGTATATATTAACGCTAAAATGAGTTAAAAAGAACAAGCCTTTTTTTCACGTAGGCCGCCTTCTTCCCGGGGGTGTACTTCCTCATATGGCCTATACAGGGATGTGTCGCAGGACAGGGTATGGTTTTTGCCCTCTCTGTCATAAACAGGGATAAAGAGGGATATAATTTTGTCTGAATCTGTCATTCTTTTCAATGACCTTAGTATTGACCT